AGATCATGGCCACTGGTCCCATCACCTCCTGGCAAATAGAAGGGGAAGATATGGAGGCAGTGACAGATTTTACTTTCTTGGGCTCCATGATCACTGCAGATGGAGACAGCAGCCACGAAATTAAAAGACGCCTGCTTCTTGGGAGGAAAGCGATGAAAAACCTTGACAGCATCTTAAAAAGCAGAGACATCACCTTGTCAACAAAAGTCAAAGTTATGGTTTTTCCTGTAGTGATGTATGGAAGTGAGAGTTGGACCATAAAGAAAGCAGACCGCCGAAGAATTGATGCCTTTGAATTGTGGTGCTGGAGGAGGCTCTTGAGAGTCCCCTGGACTACAAGGAGAACAAACCTATCCGTTCTAAAGGAAATCAACCCTGAGTGCTCACTGGAAGGACAGATCCTGAAGGTGAGGCTCCAGTACTTTGGCCATCTCATGAGAAGAGAAGACTCCTTGGAAAAGACCTTGATGTTAGGAAAGTGTGATGGCAAGAGGAGAAGGGGACGAGAGAGGATGAAATGGCTGGACAGTGTCTGCGAAGCAACCAACATGTTTGACACGACTCCAGGAGGCAGTGGAAGACAGGAGGGCCTGGCATGTTCTGGTCCATGGGGTCACGAAGAGTCGGACACGACTAAACGACGACGACTACAAAGTAGGTTGACGGTATTCAGCTTTTATATGCGTTATGTTTCAGCACCACCCACCCCCAAAGTCAGTAATATCCCAGATGAGAGTAAATAAATTGAAGCAGAATCCAAACAAGTCTGATAAGAAAGTTACTGAACAGGATTTGAGACATACGTCCCACTCTTTATGAGGCTACACTCCTCTCTACACTCTGCCGACCTGAGTAGACCTTCAGTCTACATGGGCAGGGTAGAAATCTAATAAAATAAGTAACATTAATGAATGTGTTCATAGTTTGGAATCCTTCTGCACTGAACATTTATAGAGATGTCTATGTGGCAACTGCAGGCAGGAGTGTGGTCAATCAGTTTGGGCTATATGTCTTCCTAGAGAATTATGTATTATTAGTAGCACTTGACCTTTAGACATTCTTCCCTCAAAAAGTTCCACCAGATGAATTTTATTGATGTGTTCCTGAATCCATGAGGCTGTGATTGCATATGGAGACCTTGCTTAAGTTCTCTTATGCTTATAACCAGTGTGGCCAGTGGTAAGAGGTTTTAGGAGCTGAAGTGCAGACCATTTAGCCCAGTGGTTCCCAAATGTTAGCAAATTTGGGTAACCCACGTGTTATTGAACTAAAAATCCCAGACGCCTTCACCACCAGTTGTGCTGGCTGACGTTTCTTGGAACTGCAGTCCAAGAATACTTGGGTTACCCAAGGTTCAAAACCACTGGTCTGAGCCCACGTTTGAATTCCACAAGTGACAAAAATATTGCCTGTAACTATCATGATTCCTCTATAATATACCAGGCTTCAGATTTAGTTAGTCAATGTTTTATGGCTCCAAATCCATGATTTTGGAAGGAATAGATGTACTCTGTCTAGACTTCCTGTCAAGCATAAAAAAACACAGCATCTAATATTCTGGTAAGCAAAATAACACATCACCAAGCTGGCTACATCAAAACTATGAATTTTAGAATAACATAAAGCTACAAAAAAGTACCAAAACCTTGAATCTTAGTCACATCACAATATTCAACACTTTAGTTGCATTTCAAGGAGCCGCATACTGGCAGACACAGAAATGTTATTTGCCACTAGAATTCTCTTTTTGTCCCAGCAGTACCTACATTTTGCTTGTGGATCCCTACTCATAAAACTATTTTATGAGTTTTTTATTTTCTTTATTTTTGTTGCATCTGTCTAAAGAGCTATTCGCCCTTTAAGGTTCGCTGTTAATTACAACCTTCTGATACCACATGGTCCAAAGCATCTAGCCCCAAAGCATTCCTTTCATGAGCATATAGTCTCCCAGAATCAAATTATCAATGGTCTCTTAACTAAAGGAGCACTCTCAATTCACAGAACTGAACAAAGACCTCCCTAACTGCCAACCAAAGTTCCCTCTAAGTTGCAAAGTGCTGCACTGGTCCTACAGCCAATGCTACTGCCCATTTGGTTCCAGTTGCAGACAGAACCCCCCATATGCAAGGCAGATCCCCAGCCAGTGCTGCAATAAAATTAGAGGGAATGTTTCTGCCAGCCCATTTGAGACTCAAAGCTCTCTCAAACTATTCAGCAACATTTATACTCACTAAAATCAAATTAACACAAGATTATTCACCCAAGATGCAATATAAACAAGGCTTTGTCTCCCTCTCCCTAATAATAAATAACTTTACCCAAACTTCTTTGTGCCAGAATGTGTAGCTCTTAAGTTTACAAGATCACTTTTTTCATACATTATATTAAGAATCTGTTGTCTCGTGAAATTTACTTCTGGTAAGCTTCTCTAGGAGAGTGCCTAGGCAAACTTTTCTCAGATTACAAGAAAGCAGCTATTTAGGAGCTGAAATAGCTACTTTATAAATAGAGCTAAAAAGCTGTAGGTACCTACTGCCAAACAAATAAAAAGTGCTTTGTACCACCCAGGAATGCCTTTCCAATAACAACAGGTTTTCTTGTAAGCACTTAAATACTTACATTTCTATTAAATTTCGTGAACGAATGATGCATATAAAACCTGTGCATGTAAACAATTGCTGTATTAATTGTAAGTTGAGACCTGAAAAGAGAGTCAAGGAAATTATAGGTAGCTACAACTATTCAGGGACTGGTGAATGGCTGACAGTTTTCTGTCTGTTGAATTTCTGACAGTTCAAACACTGCCAGAAGTAGGATTTAAAGCCAACACTCCTGGTTTGCCTTTGCAGCTCTCATTTTGAAAATGGCATAGATATGTAGGCATGATTTTTTTTAAATCTTGCTTTTTTCCCTCCTGAATCATCCACAGACAAATGCTGCCTCACCTGAGGAAACCCCATATGGATTAAAAGCTGCATATGCTTGTGATTTTTTTTAAAGTGGTCTAATAAAGGTACCACCTACCCTCACCTTCTGAAATTTTAGAAGAACCCTGCCCCCAGGTAGAAACTGTAGAGGCAATCTTTATTCATCTCCTTATCCCTGCCAACAATCCCTTACTCAAAACCTGTATCAGAGGTTTGGAAATCCTCACAGACCAGTGGGAGGTGATGATGTGGGCTACAGAAGGAGAATTTTTTTCCACTGGCAAAAGAAAAACCAGACTGGTTTATATTCAGTGCGTTACTCAAATAAGAATTCCTTCCCTTCACCACATGAAAAATTCTGCCAAGAGTGTTAGATGGCCCCTCAGGAAAAATCTCAATTTCAGGGTAGGGGGCTAAAGTGAAAGATTTTTTTTTGGGGGGGGGAGAGAAACAGCCATGGCATCTGACAATCATGCCTTAATGGACACAAACTATTAATCCACAATTTTTAGGTTTTCGCTGTTGCCGTTTCTGGAAAGCTCTTTGCCTACTTAAAACAAAACACAAAACACCAGCCCTGATTTTTCCTAAGGACTGCATCACCCTGCAGATGCACACATCAAAAGACAGAATGATGGCTGCTATTCTATAAAGACCTTAAAAGGGGGCAGAAAACATATAACACAACTCTACGTCTGGTATGAAATTTACTACCATGCATTGGCAATTTATTTATTTATTTATAAAACTCTGTTCATGTGCCTTTCTTCACAAGAAGACTTTAAAAACAGTATCTGCCAGAATGAGGAGGTCTGAATTTCCAGCTCAGTCATCCAATTCCATCAAAATCACAAACCCACCATTCTGCTGGGCAATAACACAAAACGGTGCATCTTCCTCCCTGTTTTACTGTACTGATTTTTTTTTTAAAAGGCTGGATAAAAACTGATTTTTTTAAAAAACACCCCTGCTTCGAATTTTTAAAAAAATAATAATAATCCCAGCACCCTAATTCTAAGAGAACAGCTTCCCCGAAAAAAAAAAATCTTGTCGACACACCCGTTGGGTTTCCCCGAGATAATAATCCCTTCCTTTCTCTCCCGGGAGAGCCTGTGGCGCCTTCTCGCCTCAAGCCCAGAAAGAAGGGAAAGGGAGTCGCGGGGAGGAGCCACGCCAGGCGAGGCCTCCGAGATCCCCCCCCTCCAACGGGCCGGCGCCTGGAGAAAGGCCCGGGACAAACCACCGCCACCGGGAGAGGCTCTTTCCCCTCCGCCCTGAGGAGAAAGAAGGGTCTTCTTCTTCGTCTCTTTCTCCCCCCCCCCCTCCCAGGCCCAACCCCCGCATCGCCTCCTCGGCTCAAAAGGATACACGTTGAGGCGCTGGCCCATGTCCTGGATGAGGTTGGCCGCCTGCTGACGGTACGAGAGCTCCTTGTCGGCCTCGACGCCGCAGCGCCGCGACGGCGTGTTCTCCAGCTGTTCTCGGGTGAAGAACCAGCGAGAACTCCCCAAACCAGCTCCGCGCGACGCCGAACTCGCGCCTGGTCCGGAACCCGCCACAGCCGCCGCCATGACACTTCCTCCTCCACCCGCAGCAGCAACAGCGCCCGCCACCGGCGCGCCCGACTCCTCCTCCGCCTCCTCCATCGCGGGCTCTCTCGCGAGATCTCAAACTCACGCGGCAAAACCGGCGGCTTCCGCTTACGCTCTGGCTTTAACGAACCATAGAATTACAAAGGATCATCCTAGCAGGGAAGCTAAAACGGCCCCCATCTCTCTTTTTTTTTTCTTTTCTCTCCTTTCTCTCTTTCTCTCTCTCTCCGGAAGTTAAGGACTGCGCTGGTTCTAGGAGTATTTGCTCTGTGGTCTTGGTTAGGTTATTTCCTCCGCTTATACTATGTATGTATAAACGGATATGTAGACACACACTGATTAGAGTGATTAAAATGACTTTAAAAAAAAAAACATTAAATATAATAAAACGTTAAGCAGCCATTAGAACGTAGTAGCAACCCGAATAGGTTGGATTGATCATGTCGGGATTTGAAGTTTTTTTTAAAAAAAATAGGTTCACGCAATGAGATATTGCAATTCCGCTTCACCCCCCTAACATTCTTGGATCTGATGGAGTTTCTCCCCCCCGCATCACAAATTAAGTCAGAGAGGCCGTGGCGTGCTAAATTAAAAGGCCCAGCCACCGGGTCTTCCCACGTCTTGATCAAAGTCGTTGATTAATGATTTCTGAGTCCCATATGTGGGCCAGTTTTACTTTTGCCTCAGTATTGCAGTTGGTATCCTGGCTGTCTGCATTCAAAGACATGAACTGGATGGCGTGATCTACAGGCAATGTTTTATCGAGTATATGTTTTATCAAGGTCCTGCCAGTCAGTGTGGTTAAAGGCGATGGTCCTTCTACAGTGCATATTGTTGTTTAGTCGTTTTGTCTGACTCTTCGTGACCCCATGGACCAGAGCACGCCAGGCCCTCCTGTCTTCCACTGCCTCTCTGAGTTGGGTCAAATTCATGGTGGTCGCTTCGATGACACTGTCCAGCCATTTCATCCGCGGTCGTCCCCTTCTCCTCTTGCCGTCACACTTTCCCAACATCAAGGTCTTTTCCAAGGAGTCTTCTCAAGAGATGGCCAACGTACTGGAGCCTCAGCTTCAGGATCTGTCCTTCTAGAGAGCACTCAGGGTTGATTTCCTTTAGAATGGATAGGTTTGTTCTCCTTGCAGTCCAGGGGACTCTCAAGAGCCTCCTCCAGCACCACAATTCAAAGGCATCAATTCTTCGGCTGTCTGCTTTCTTTATGGTCCAACTCTCACTTCCATACATCACTACAGGAAAAACCATAGCTTTGGCTTTTGTTGACAAGGTGATGTCTCTGCTTTTTAAGATGCTGTCAAGGTTTGCCATCACTTTCCTCCCAAGAAGCAGGCGTCTTTTAATTTCGTGGCTGCTGTCTCCATCTGCAGTGATCATGGAGCCGAAGAAAGTAAAATCTGTCACTGCCTCCATATCTTCCCCTTCTGTTTCCCAGGATGTGATGGGACCAGTGGCTGTGATCTTAGTTTTTTTTGATGTTGAGCTTCAGACCATTTTTGGCACTCTCCTCTTTGACCCTCATTAAGAGGTTCTTTAATTCCTCCTCACTGAAACAGTGCATAAACATAAATACATATATTACCTTGAGAAGAAGCCTGTTACTTTCCCTGCCAACTATTCTAAGGCCAAAATAATACAGAAAACCATGGAAGAATCTAGGATTTTGCCATGGTTATGAATGAGTAGCACATAGAAGAAACAGAATATAGAAGAATTCATGTTTCTATTTTTGTTTGGCTTAATATTCAAGATAAAAAAACTTACCAATGCCAATAATGAGTGAGAGTAACTTAACAGCAGCTTGATGATATAGTATTTCATGTTAAGAGATGGGCCTGAGGCTGGTTAGGTGGGTCCACAGCTCTGAAGAGGTTATAGCTCAGTGGTGGAGCATAGGGTTTGCATGTAGAGGATAAGTCCTGCCATCTTCTTATAGGAATTGGAAATAATTTCACATTACCATAAGTCTTGATGATTCATTTTCAATCAGAGTTGACACATTGGGTTAGATTAGATATTGGCCTGACAGCATAGAGTGTTTCTTATGACACTATCCAGTAGCAGTTCATGGATAAAGAACAGGGTCAACCCCAAATTTTGGAGAAGTGACCCCACCTCTCTGCATAAGCCATTATGATCCCATAAAATCCTCTATTCCATACAAAACATGTCACTTTTCATGCCATCTTTATAAAATTCCTTCCTATGACATCCTCTTGCAGGCATATTTGGTGAATATGCAGGACTGTATGCAAGAGCAGTGGCTGAGCTCAGGTTACGTAAACATCCTCTTCCTTCCACCAACAAGCAAAAACATTCCTTATAAGCCGGACTCTGGAAACTGACTCTCATTGTGAAAAGAGTTTTGGTTGGATTTCCTGTTTAACCGCTCAGAGTAGACACGTTCTAGGTGGGCGGTATATAAATCTAATATATAAATAAATATTTACTGTTTTGCAATGTTTTAAATTTATTTCCCAGAGTTTCTTAAAAGTGATGTTTGATGTAAAACTGTATCATTATGAGTAGCACCAGATGTGCAGATTTGTGATTTTTGGACTACAACTCCCAGCATTCCCTACCCAGTATGGAATGCTGGGATTTGTGGTTCAGATATACAACTCTCCCCATCTCTACTGCAAATCTGTTTCCATACATCAGTAATTGCTGTATTGGCATTAGGATTGAATCTCCCAAATTATTTTTTTAAGACTTCAGATGTTGTTGGGCTACATCTCTAATCATGAAAGAAAAGGGAATTATTGGAGCTAATTATTTGTTTTGCTGATTTGCAACAACTCTAGCAAAAGTCTTAAAATTCCTCACCTGTTCAAATGTTAGCAAAGAATGAAATGTCTCCATAACACTACTAAGCACTGTGTACGCACACAGACAGATGTGTCTGTATATAATGGTATACAGCATATAGTAGTATATAGTAATATACAGAGCCTTGAGATATTTCAAGTAAATTCAGTTCCATTAAAGTGCGCTCTTAAGTCACTTGAAATCGTCACACAGTGATTTTTGAAATAAAAGAGTATAGAAGTGAAAAAAAAGTATGAAGCATAATTAGACTGAGAGAAAGACATGTCTAATTAAAATTTCACCTCTACAACCCTTTTTCTTTATCCTTCATGACAATACTGAATTGAAGGGAGATACTTATTGTGTTCCATTCATTTGCATGCAGCCATATTGTGCTATTGCTACTTTCTGGCTCCAGATATGCCCTTATCTGAGAATAAGCCTGATTCTCAACAGAATGGTAGGACTTATTCCCAAGTAAACAGGAATACAGTACAGTAGTCTTCATCTATAAAAGCTCTGAAGCAGGCTGCCGTTTGCTCCTCTGAGAATGCATTGTCACTGCATCTTGTAAAGTTGCTAAGCAACAGTGTGAAGAAGCAATTGTCAACTTGGCACAAGGGAAGGGTAAACAGGGGTCTGGAGGGAGGAGAGATGGGCGCTTGTAGTGGAGAGGAGACTTGGAATGAAATAATTAATCAAAGGAAGTATATGGGAGAGGTGTGGATTCCCGATTCCTGAGAGAGTTTGTGTGGAGAGCATAGCCATGCAGGGAGCACTGTGGGAGCCTCCTGCAGAAGAGGGTTTTTCTTTGGGGAGGGGCACTGACATCCAGACCTCTCTGAGTTGTAATCCCAATAGCTTGGAATGGCAGCAAAGGGGAGTGGTGAGAGGCTGTGCCTCTGAGTGGGCGTCTGCTGGAGGAGATTGGGCTTGGAACCATGTTGGAACCACAGAACACCTGTCGGGCCGATGGTCGAACCCGCACGAACCACTGAACTGGCAGTTCATGCTTGTCTCTAGTCTTTAGTACTTTTGAAGCTTGGTTTTATAAACAGCAACAGTGATCAAAGGAAGCAACAGCAAAGACATATGGTAATGTAGAGAATGACAGACTTTACCTTTGAGCCTTGATCTGAAAGGGTGAAGTCTGCTTAGTTGGGAAGGAAAATAACAGCACATAATGACATAATATAACATTTGGTAGTGGCTTAAAAACCCTGGCTAATATTTAACCCATTAAGATGGGTGTCCAGCATGTAAATAAATTTTATCTCAACTATTTCCCTCTGGATTCCTGTTCTATCATTTTTCTTTTCCAGAATAGCGACTTTCATATATTGTGAAAAGTGTCCTAGTAGAATGAAGTGATCTGAGACAAGTTTCTGTGTACTGCAATTTCTGATGTCAGATTAATGTCTATTAATTCTTTTGCATAGAGATTGTCCTGTTTGACCTATGTAGAATGCAGAAGGTGCTGTTGGCAAAAGATAGCAGAGATCACATTAGTAGAGGATCAATAATTGCTTTAGGTTATGAAGTTGTATGTAAGCAAATATAGGCCTGCCACTAAGCACTTGGGAGAATGAAGTATTTTTGTCAAGGAATAATACATTTTGGCAAAAAAGAAAAGAAAAGAAAAGAAAAAGACTAGACAGAAAGGGGTTAAAAAAACTAAATAGTGCAGCCCTTTAAATACTGTTTTATTTAATGTGAACTTTCATGGATAGAACTCCACTTCCTCATGCACTGGAATGCAAATACATTATCTTTATATTTTTGTATATATATCTCCTATGAGCAGATGTGGATAGAGATAATAAACAAAGTGACAGTTTCTTGTCAACACAAGAATGGGGCTATCAAGATGTTAATGACTTCACTTAGTAGGTTCTGGCCAAGACAATAGCTGTAAGCTAGGTAGACTTGGCTGTAACAGGAATATTGCTGGCTGAATAGCTCAATAACCTTGAGAAGGGTTGTCACAAGTAAGAATTGATGTAACACAGCAATTACTATTATTAAGACTGTTGCACACTGTCACAAGAAGGCTGAGACAGATTTAGGGCATGGCTAGATGGCCAAATTAAAATGGGCTGCATTGGACTAAAGAGGGTTGCTTAAGGTGACATAGAGGTGTGGTATGTCATTTGGGCCAATTTGTGCATCCACATATAATGATGGTTTCAGGTCAGAAACCAACACTAAACCTCAGGTTACCCTGTTTGGCTCACCTCTCTTTAAAGAAAGAATTAATGATCACACTCCTTATCTCCTCCCGTCCCCTCCTCCTAGAAGGAAGCGCTGAATGTTTCATTTTGTTTTCCATGTTGGCTTGAGCATGTCATGAGAATGGCTGACAGTTGGATTCCAGAAGATCTCCTGTATGGAGAATTAGTGCAGGGACATTGCCCCAGAGGGAGACCACAGCTGCGATACAAGGATATCTGCAAGGGGGATCTGAAGGCCTTAGGAATGGACCTCAACAGATGGGAAACCTTGACATCTGAGGGTTCAGCCTGGAGGCAGGCAGTGTATCACGGCCTCTCCCAATTCGAAGGGACACTTGTCCAGCAGGCCGAGGCAAAGAGGCAGTCCCGAAACCAGCAAAATCAGGGAGCTGGACCGGGGACAGATTGTATTTGTCTTCAGTGTGGAAGGAATTGTCACTCTCGAATTGGCCTTCGCAGACACACTAGATGCTGTTCCAAGACCTCTATTCACAGCATGTTACCATAGTCTCTTGAGACTGAAGGATGCCTACACAGAGCACACCAGCACTGTTGTACTAGGCCCCACAACCTTTGCTTCCCCACTCTCAATCCCTCCATGTAGGAGAAAACTTTCAGTTTCCCAATACGTATTGTTAATTGGCTTAACTTGTCTGCTTAAGCCACTTAAATTTATTGAGAAATTGAAAACTTAAGCCATCTGCTTTGTTTCAGTCCCTGAGATCGCATGTGCTGAAACTGAATCAAAACAGAGCAATTCTACCTACACCTGAAAAACCTGTAGCCTCTGACAGGGAGTCAAAAAAGGGTGTGTAGGAACACTCTGGGAAGCCTGGTTCATGCTGGCATTTCTGTTGTGTGGAAACCAGGAAAAGGAGTGAATGAACCTAGAGCAGACCAAGCGATGGGAGTCCTAATATGGCTAATTCTTTCAAAACTGTCCAGTACTTGGAATTAGAATACAGTATTTATAGCTATTCTTCACATCTGAACAACATGAATTTCTCCTTCCTAGAGATAATGACAGAATCTCCCAAATCTATGTTGTCAGTCTTAAGAATGGAAACTCATAAAACATCTGTGAAAGTGGACTCGGTGGAACAAAAAAAATGGAAAATATTGCAAGTTTATTTATTTGGAACTGGCAAGGGGTTGCAAACAGAAAAGGGCATGACTGTTATGATTGTGCATACAGACTTAGCGTACTGTAGTTGACAAGTATTTGAAGTAGTTCTAGTGTTATTCAAACCGCCGTCTGTCAAGATCCAAAAATGCAAGAGCATTGTTAGACTTGAGGTTTTCCTGTAACAGCAACAACAAAGTAATAGTAATGACATTTTTGCGTTTGGCTTGCAAATACACAATATCTAGAGAAAGAAATTTATATTTCTGTATCTGGATACTTTCCAAATAATTAGCTAGTAAGCTGTTGCATAAAATTAATTTAATAAACAAAAGGAGCCACAATAACAGGCTGCTGTTGGCTGTTGCTCCTTCCCCTGAGTATCTCAGTACAGTGGACCCTCTACTTACGGAATTAATCCGTATTGGAATGGTGGCTGCAAGTCGAAAAGTCTGTAGGTCGAGTCTCCAGTGACCTACAATGCATTGAAAACCAATTAATGCCATAACCGGCCATTTTTGTTCCATTTTGGGTTTTTTCTGGTCTGTAGGTCGATTCTCTGGCTGCAAGTCGAACCTAAATTTTGCAGCCAGAGAAGTCTGTAACTCAAAAGTCTGTAAGTCGAGCCATCTGTAAGTCGAGGGTCCACTCTATAAGACTGCAGGTGTTGAAGAGAGGGCCCAGAGTTCAGTTTCACTCTCAGTTTCTTTTTGTGCCAAAAGCCTTAGATATTTGTTGACTAGTTAGGGTCAGACTACACTTAATATATATTCTGTACAATTAATCTGCTTTCCCTCCCATGAAAGTATTTTCTTAGACACATGAGTGAGAGTCAGGGTGTGAATACAAAATGAGGGAAATATGAATTTGGTCACATTCACTTTCTGTAAAGCCACACTGGGGAATTTGGGTCTATGTAATTTAAGTGACCAGCCAGAAAAAAGTAAAAAGGCTTGTTTTGCTGCTTGCTTATAGTGCTACTTATAGCCCTGCAGGTGATGCCATTACAAAGCAGTAAACAAGCAGTAAAAAAAGCTTCCGTATTCAATTTTCTCATCTAGTTATAGTGTGTGTATCTTGCTGATAGAGACAAGCTCTGCTCTTATTCTGTGTGTGTGGGGGGAAAACAGGAGTGCAGCTCATGGAGTGGGCGCTGTGAAAAAAAAAAGAATATTGGGAGAAAAGCTGTATCACAGACAATATGTTGTCACCACCTTGTTTGTGTGTGTGTGTGTTTGCACATGTACAGCTTGTCCTGCTTCACCAGATAAGAGGCAAAAGGTAAATTGGAATGTGCTTTGGCAAAGCATCACTTTGTGTTGTGTGGTCAATGGGAAAAAAGGTTTTAGCCTGCCCAAAACCCATAGTATTTCCTGCATTTTTCCCCAATATAGTGATAGCTTCAATGTGGCATGGGGAGACTTAAGCGACTGGGATTTGAATCCTTGCTCAGCCATGGAAACTCATTGGGGGTCTGAAAGTGGTAAAAGCACTCCTTAAATATCTCACATACAGTATCTTGAAAACCCTATTAGGATCTCTATAAATCAGATGCGACTTAACAGCATGTAACCTGTCTGTCAGCAATCAGACTTGCAAATTAACCCTGTTTTTACCTTCAAATTATATGTTAAGAACAAAGCATACCAAGAGCAAGATACAGGATCAATCTAAATGATAATCCAAACTCTGGACACATTCCATAAATAAATTTAATTCTTCTCTTCTATGTATCTTACATTTAGCAAGGTGTGATTTGTGACTGATTTTCCCAGCTTAATTTCCAAATCTGATCAATAAAACACATATCTTTTAGGAAATCCCAATCTGTTTAATCTGCCCTCTAATTTTAATCTGATCCTGTGACTGCAGATCAGTACAAGTATGAAGCAATGAGGTAATTATTGTCAAGTTTGGTCATTAATACAATTTAACATGTTTGATTCCAAAACTGGAATTTCAATTATATTCTATTAAATAATGTTTGTTACAAGTATACGACTTGGATTTTAAAGCCTCTCTTTTATTCATGTATCTGATTGGTATTTGCAAAGGGTTTGTGTAACTTGCTGCAGTTAACTGTGGCTAATTGATGAGGTGCTGTGGTGCAGTTTGGTCATGGACCCACAGTATGACTGAGATATGGTCCAGCACCTTGTCAATTAGTCACAATAACCTATAGCAAATTCTGTAAATTTAATGCAAACGCCAGTAGGACTCTCATCATTGTCATTTTTATATTGAGAAGAAGGACAACTGTCAGAAGGAAGGAAGGAAGGAAGGAAGAGGGGGGGGATATTTCCTGAAATACAAGATGAAAATAATTCAGCAACTTAATAATGACAATAAGTGATGATTCAGTATAAGGAGAGTTTCTGTGGAATTTCTGCCAGGGTGTGGATGATTTTCTTACATGTAGTTTCAGAGTTTTATTGAAAAGACACAGACAGAATTCTGAACGCTCATGATCTTTCGCTTTTCTTTATCTGTGCATGTGATGGCTATTTACGTATTTGCCATACATTCCTGCTTTCAAGGCTGAAGAAGGGATTCCAGGGAAGAGTGTTTAATGCTTCTCTTGTGTACCATGAATGGTCAATTTAGAAGCCCCAAACTCATTTTGTACCCACTCTAGGCTCACTGGGGGCTCTACAAGCCCTATAGATAAACTGGATATCTGTTGCCATTAATCACATCTCTCTGTATTTCTTTGAACAAAATACACACATATCTTTGTTTTTTCTTTCCAAAGAAAGTCACAGTGTGCCCCCCCCACCTTTCATGTCTTAAGATATCTTAAGACACACCCTTTTCCCATGGAGCACTGGAAACTAATACAAACACATCCAAAACAGTTATTTTCTGTAGCCTACAAGCAGATACTGTAATTGAGGGAAGGAGGAGGTTTCAGCAATGGAAAGTTAACTACTTAGGAATACTAAGAAACAAAGAAAGATCTTTATAACCATTAGTGAGCATGGGGGGGGGCATTTTCATTTTATACATAACATTTTTTTTAGTAGGGTGCAACCTTCCAAGATCCAGGAGTGGCATGTGCCATCTCTGGAAGTTCCCTGTCTCTGTATTAAAATATTAGTTTATTTTAACTAAGGAGCGAAAGAGTTTATATATTCCATTTAATACATTATTTCTTTATCTAGGGATTCTTCATGGAAGATATCTGACAACATGCCATTAGCCTACCATAAGTCAAAATGTAGTCCCAAGAATTGTTTCATGTAAAAGCAATTAAATGGGAACCTCAGTACTGTATTTTATTTTGTAGTTTTGTTTTAAAGCAGGGTTGCTCAGCATGCTTGCCATAAGTCAAAGGAACAGCTGTTTCTCTATCCACAACAGTAACTTAAAGAAACTGAAACTAGAACAATTTATATATTATATTTATATAATATATTTATATATTATATAACAATTTATATATATAAATTGTAACATTGTACCTTAATTTCGTCATCAAATTCCTCCATGGATTCAATTAGTTTTCCAGGTTCATGTTCCCCAAGTGGAAATGGATAATCTGTTCCCAACATTACCTTGTCCTGGGGAAAAAAAACAAATCAAGTGATGGATGACTCTGTCGGCATTTAGTTCCACATTTTTCAATCTATGGCTACAATCTTTTTGACTCCTAGGCATACCATTCTGTAGCCAATGTGGATGGCTAGTTTGCACCCAAATTAAGCAGTGGGGGGGGGGTTATTATCTGAGACGACACCCCTGTGATGTATCTGGTGGGTTGTGGCATTGAAGCAAACATGGAGAACTCCCCTCCTCTATTTTCATCTACATATATTCAGAACTGTGAATAAATTGTTTTTTAACTTTTTCTATTACCAGTGGTTCGGAGTGCATTCAGAGTGGTTCAGAGTATAAGTGCCAGTTCATGAGATAAGAAGGAGTGGTCTGTTTTGGGGATAATTGAAGCTAATTCTGCTCTGTAAGTCCCTATATTTCTGCTGCCCAGCTAAAGGAGTCTGAACAAAATTCAATACCCTGTCAAGAACAAACACATGTTTAAAGAGAACAGGAGCCAACACTGAAATCTCACAAATGAGAATAAATATCCTAAGTAATGCTTCTCTGCAGAATATCTTTGCTGCTTTTCTTCCTTATGGCTATCCATGTACAAACTGGGTAAATAGACACTACAGCAGGGCTGAGGAATGTGCGGCTGTTCTGATATTGTTGGATTGTAGCTCCTGCGATCCCTTCCCACTAACTATGCCAGATGTGGCTGATGGCAGCTCTAGACTAATAACATCTGGAGGTTACATTCCTCTACTGACAAGAATTCCTCCATTTTTTTGTCTCCACCATATATTATTTCATTATAGTGTCTCCAGTAGGTGTCACTACAGGGTTTCTAAAAGAAACACTTCCGTCTAAGTGCTCATAGGCCCTGTTGTGCTCAAGGGTTACTTCTTGCTATGGTTCATTTATCAATCAAAACAGAGACTGCAGCCAAGAAATTTGAAGATTTGGAAGAGCAGCTAGGAAGGAACTAGAAAAGATCCTTAAACTTAACAATGTTTCACTGGAAACCAAGGCCAAGGCCATCCATGTGACAATATTCCTGATTACTATGTACATATGTAAAGGCGAAGAACGAAGAGAGCTGACAGGAAAAAAAAAACAGTGACTGCTTTGAAATCTGGTGTTGGAAGAAAGCTTTGCAGATAACCCCAGAAAGGCAAATAAATGAGTTCTAGATCAAAATATTGAGCTCTCGCGGCAAGTTATACTATTGAGCTTTCAACATATCTTGAGAAGAAAAGACTGCCAAAAAAGTCAGCAGGAAAAGGGGAAGACCTAACATGAGATGTATTGACTCAATAATGGAAACCACATTTTTTAGCTGCAGGACCTGAGCTATGCTTGTGATCCATATGACCTCTTTGGAGGGCCTTTTGGCCCTCAACAAACAACTCATTTTCTGTGTATTCGCGAAGGCTTTCACGGCCGGGATCTAATGGTTGTTGTGGGTTTTTCGGGCTCTTTGGCCATGTTCTGAAAGTTGTTCTTCCTGACGTTTCGCCAGTCTCTGTGGCCGGCATCTTCAGAGGACTGGAGTAGGAACTCTGTCCATGCTCTGTTGGTGTTTGTTGGATAATATTTATAGCTGTGGGAACGGCTTTTTGTCTTTTTTCAGGAGATAGGGTGATTAGCATGTTTTTGTTGTGATGAGGGAGGGGGGAGAGGGAGAGCTTATCTGTCACTGTGGTTGATGGGTGTCGTTAGCTGGTCTTTTTTGTGAAATGATCTCTGGCCCTTGTGGCTGGGTAAGAGTTCGTTGACCTTTTGCAGGTTGTAATTTTCAGAATGGGCTGCCAGTTCGGGTTTAGTTGCAGGCATTATTCTTTCCTGTTGAAGTTTTGTTTATGTTTATGGATTTCAATGGCTTCCCTGTGCAGTCTAACATACTGCATGATAGTGATATAAGTACAGAGAGGTGTGATTACTGGCAACATGGTCAACAGGGGCCACAGAAAAGATCAACATTTGCCTTCGAGAAAACAGGGAGCGTGAGCTGAATGTGATTGCTTTGTCTATGATGGATTGTTACCTGGGTAGTCACCTAGCTACTGCAAGGATGCGGAACGTCCAGGCCTTCAATCGGGTTTAGCCCATGAGAATTCTCTATCTGCCTTCATTTCCAATCCATGATCAGAAATGAGAGATAAGAAGCTATTAAAAAACCCAGCAAGCCAGTGCAGGGAACGGAGCAGTAGTGCGCATTCCAGGTAGTAGCTGTCACAGAGAAGTAGTGCTGGGCCAAAATGATCTCCCATGAGAATTTTTGATCATTCTCTTTCACTTTGATAGAGAACAGATTACCTCTGAAAAGCAACTCAGAAGAAGGAGAAATTGCAAATACGTTTTCATAGGGAAAATTCAGGATCCTTGTAATTATCCTACTCAGACGGTGGCAGAGGGGTATTTCTTGTGCATATCCTGTCTTGCCTTGTACATCCCGATGGCAGTTGGCAATGCTCTTCACAACGTCCCACACTAAAATCCCAGGGGAAGATGTAAGAAGTTAACCCCTCCTCATTTGTTCAGATCAGAATGTGTGGGCAGCTAGGGAAGCTGCAGTGTTGAAGAGATTTATAATGGAAAGGAAAAAGAAAAAAGAAAAAAAAAACAGACAGATCACCTTTGGCCACCTTCTAATGTTATAGTAAACTCAAAATCTGAACCAAAAGATGTTCTAAAAGGGTCTGAGAATAATGAAGAAAAAAACAGAGAGGCTGTTTCATGGGGAAAGACACTTTTTGAGAAACTGGAGAACCAACTATCCATAGCACAGCCTACAGCTTTTTCCTGGAGCTGGAGGCAATGCTGCTCCCTCTCAAATTTGCAACCGCACTTACAGGGGGAGAAGTGTATTATAAGCATGTGCAGTAGAGACAAGATGCATGAAGGCTGATCCCCTCAAACATGTGATATTTGTAAGGCCTCTAAAAGGTGCTGAACCTTGGAGAATGACAACCAGTGCTGATCCAAAATTCTTAAGAAAACATGTTTTCTGAAAAACATGGTAAGAGTTTCTTTTTCTTAGCCCCCTATAAATACAATGCCACATTGTAGAATTATTCCCAAAATGTCTTCATAATTTTTTAATGCCTGCTTCCCTGCCACTATCATCACAATGCCTTAAAACAAGGGTGGGCAATTATACTCTAGATAAGTCAGCAGTTCAAAGGCTGTGTACCAAATCCTACCCCAAATCCTCAAAAAAGCCACTGAAAAAGAGGAAAGAAACTTATGACCCTGAAAAAAAAATGATGGTACAGATTATAACTGGTTTCCTGCTTCCTCATTAACTCCCCCTCCAAACCAATAGCCCATGGGTTGTTGGAATAACTGCAAAGAATTGGCTAGGGCTGTGTGTACATGGGCCACTTGATGCCCACCCCTGTCCTAGAAGTAGAGGGTATTGTAGAGGAGAGAAAATGGTTGCCACATTCAGCAGCAGTAGGGGAAAAAAACCCAAAAAATCCTGGTGTAGAGAAGTATGTTACAACCACTGCTAATTGTGACTCCCATTTCTGAGAATTTGGAAACTTAGCTGTACCTAGACCTGAAGACACGCAGTGTTCTGTAGCAGACAGAGTGTCAGACTAGGACTCTGGAGACTTGGGTTTGAATCCCTGCTTGACCATTGAAATTAAGGGGGGATGTGCTCTGATGAAACCATTATTTGAATATCTCATTTATCTCGAAAGCTTTATGGATCACTGTAAGTCAGTTATGACTTGACAGTACATAATATACAATTAAATGGAACTGAGGTGCTACTGTAATTTTAAGGACATTTGTTTTCCTTCCTGTTAGCAGTGAGACTACATGGCTACAGTGACAAATGAATGTGCATATGGAAAGTATCACTAAGGATAGGTTCCACACTATCCAGAGATTTTCTGGAAAAAGGCAATGATTTTTTCCCGAACGAACTTTTCTGGAAAAAGGCAATGATTTTTTCCTGAACGAACAAATGTACAAACAAACAAACAAGCAAGCAAACAAACATATACTGTACTTTGTAGGAGTGTTTGCAACTGTATTTCCAATCTGAATGGAAAAGTCAAACAGCATCACATTTTCAAGGAGCCTAGTGCTTAAATTATAATCAGCCACAATGAAAGGGCCAGAATAATCAATGTTCTATGACCTCACTTTAAAGAGAGAAAGAAAGAAGGAATGAAATTAATCAAAAACATTTATGATCCCCAATGAGCTGGGTTTACTGGTGTGAAGGTCAGACTGGCTTCTTCCTCTAGCTTGCATTTCCTGAGAAGCATCTCTTTTCCTATCCTGCTCTCTTTGTTTCACTTAGATCTTAGTAGCTCTTGGGGCTAAACGGGAACTGAAACTTCACACAGTATTAAAGCCACAAATGCATAAAATGTGTGGTAATTACTTCATGTTAGTAGAGTGCAATAGGCTACTAAAGTGAGCTTATGGTATCGATTTGGTGTAATCACTGAGGATACCCATGGTATGATGGACACAAAAACGTTTTGCCACTTCTGTCGCTATTTATACCGGCATCACCTGGACAGCATGTGGACGGCTGAAGGTTGATTCCTTCCATCCTTCCAAAGCTGGTAGAAATGAGCACCCTGGGAGAGGGAATGTGTAGCCTGTATAATTAAATTATAAACAGTCCAGAGAGTGCTTTAAGCACTATGAAGCAGTATATAACCGGCACATTTGCTTTTTGCTTTTAATATTTGCTGAAATTCATTCCAGATAAACCAGGATAAAAACTGCACTTGGATATAGATATTTCCTACAGCCAGCTTCTACATATGCAGGTGGGCTGAGGGCTAGCATACAGACACCTGCACACCCAGACCTCAGTTGCAGATGAAGGAGAAAAAAGAAGCCAAACCATTTCTTTGAAGTAGAGGGAATGATTTAAACAGGAAGTGACCTAAAGACAATCATCTATAAGCTATACACAGAAAACCCAGACAGACCAAGAGGCTCAACACTCAGCATCCAATTATTTTAAATATACTGTAATATTTCTGCCCTTATTTTAATCCAAACAAGGTCTCAGTCAACATCAGGGATCCCACTACAATTTACCCTTTGAAAATATAATTTGAATGATTGTAAAGTCTGTGAATGACCTCCTGTTTAATTTATGCTTCAGTCCTAAGGACCCAAGTGTGGAAGAATGGCTGCTTCTAAGTTAAGTGTTCTTCTTGGTTAAATTCTCTCACTCACCTTTCCCACTATTTCCATCAGCAGCTTCAGGGCACATTTATCATGGACGAGTGAGTCTGCGTAGAAAGAACCAAGATATTTCTTCGGATCAATGTTATTATCTACTGCGCACAAGTCAGGCCGCACGTTAAATCCATGGGAAATACGCCCAACAGTGTATGGAAAAGAACCACCTAAAAAGAAATGCAAAGTATAAATGCCTTTTGTAAAGGAGGGCTCATCCTGAAAGAGCATTTGTTCTTCTATATACAGATGATTATGAGCCAATGATAATGGTATTTTTCCTGCTGTCAAGGAGGTGACACTGGTATAAACAGTGGCAGAAGTGACAAAAAAAATGGTCTTCCAGGTTTTTAAAAAAATCACTCCAGGAGATTTATTTTTAAAATGTTTTGCCACAGGAGCCTCTTAGGTTGGAAACTTCTGATATTAGCACCAAGAAGAAACAAACAAACCCCAGAATCCTGCATGGAAGATAACTTTTGAAATAGGCTTCAGGGGTTTCCTCGCTGTTGTCTACGAATTGGTGTGGCAAATAACTGATCGGAAGCTTTTGGTGTTAGTGCTGATCTACTAAAAAGAAAGCAAAACCAATCTCAGGAGAGAATCATTTCAAAAGGGTTTCTCTGAGCTTTTCCAAATTTTGTTTGAATCTTTAAAAGATTCTGATTTCCAAAAGAAAAGACAGGGAAAGCAGGGTTTTAGCAATGAATGTGAAGAAAATTTATGGTGAAATCCACATCTATCTGGCACTAAACAACACTAATGAGCACAAAAAGAGAGGAACAAATGTGTGATCTAGATGAGCCCTAGCAGAAATATCCGCTTTGTCTGCTTAGCAGTTCCAATGCCATTGATATTCTCTTTCTCTGTGTTCTTTCCCTTATTCTGTCTCATTTTTTCCCTCTACATTAGTGCTCACTCAGCCTTTCTCCACGCATATTCTCCTCTCCTCACTTTAGAGGTAGCAACTCTCTCTGAACCCTTTTAATAATCTGAGGGCCTGCTGAAGAGGAAGCTGCCATATGGAACTGCCTTGAGTGAATGCCCTTCAGAAATTAACCAGGCCACTGCAAGGTACAGACATATTTTCATTTACTAAAACCAGCTCATCCATTTAACATACAAAATAACTCTGTATGGATACTGCTCCAGGATTACCTTCATAACACCACATTTCAGGTGTCTAAATTGCACAGCCTTGAATGGATGTTTGAGGCAAGCCAACATTTAGACACACATTTATTATTATAGATTATAATGATTATGAAAATCTTCTTCTTGAAAATCCTCGAGTTGACATACATTTCAGACACTTGATAGTTTGCTCTGATTTTTCTCAATGTGAAAAAAAATTCTTGGTACTTCAACAGTATTTGGCTTTCTGAATCCCTCTTCCCATGTGCAGAAGTCTAACATTTTATGTCTATTATTTTTGCATAAGTTTAGAAAAAAAATTTGTTTCAGTAACAACAAAAATGTATTGATGGTCTATGGTATTGTACCTTGATTTAAAAAAATGATTTGCTTTAAGAAGATCCAAGGGTGGGCTTTGTTTCACAATCTGTGTATAATTTGTAGACATGCCTAGGGTCAAGAGAAGAGTTGCCCCATGAAGACCTGCTCTCACTCTTGACCACACAATTGGGACCACTTCTTTCAGCTATTTTGTTAACTATCCTCTGCTGCTCTTTAGTTCTGTGGTTGCTATTCCTGTCTTCTACTCAGGAGGCTTTATATTCCAGACTATGAGTATTTAGTGCAACCGTATTTAAAGCAGATTGGATTATATATCTATGAAGGTGTGCAAAGGCTGCATCCTTATAATGGGAGTAAGACTTGCTGAGCATGGAAGAAATTGTTTTTAAGGAAACACAAATAGGATTGCGCTGTTAGAAGACCCCTGCTGAACCAGACCAAAGGCTCATCAAATCTAGCATTTTGTTTCTCATGGTGGCCACCTTGTAGAAAGCCAATAAGGACATGACAGCAATAGCCCCCTCATACTGTTTTTCTCTGTTGTTCAGCAGCATACCTATAGTCTTTATGAGTATTACCATGAGGAGGGGGAGAAGAGTTGCATTTTAAATATGTTTGGATTTCCATACTGTTCTCTGATACTTACCTCCATGGGCAAAGCAAACTCTCAGTTTAGGAAAAATTTCAAAAACCCCTCCCATAATCATGGAGCAAATAGCAATGGTTGTTTCAGAGGGCATGCCTAATAAAAAAGAGTTAATGGAACAGAATTAATGATCTCTACAGCATCTTCATACACAATATTCAAGTAATTCCCCTTAAATTTTGTCAAATGTACTCTGAAATCTAAGTGAGGAAATGAGACTCAGGCATGACTTTACATAGTATCCAATTTGTACATTTCTCTGTGCAGCTACTAAGTGATACCATATTATCACCAATGCAAGAACAGGCAATTGTAACTTTAATGGCTACTAATAAAAAATAAAAAATTATACAATATACGAGCTTTTGTGGGTGAATCCCACTTCTTCAAAGCAAGTACCAAAAATCCAAATGTTTGTGGCAAGATGGGGTGTGTCAGGAGGTGACTCTTAGATATCAAGTTCTTGGCAAGATGAATTTCGCCAGGTATGTCCATCTTAGATGAGGCAGGGAGCACTAAGGCGGTTATTTTAAAGTTGCAGCTGAGTCATTTGTGGGTTGGATTTCAGACCCCTGTTCTTCAAACAAAAGGGCACAGGTCATGTATGCCCCCCCCCTTTATTTCATATTCTCACCACACTCTTCTCTGGCATTATACTGTCATGCTAAACATTGCCTTGTCCTCAATGCAGTCCATTGCAGGAAAACTGACTATTGTCAGGGGCAAAAAGGAGGTCATTGGACATATTTTTGTATGGCCACAGCTCCATGTGCTGGCAATAATATAAGTGCAATCAATGTGGATTCATGATCAGTGTAATGAATGGCTACCTCAGATAAGGACTTTTCACAGTCAGTGTTTTTCATGCCTTTTGCATCTCTAGCATAGGCTCAGATGAGAAACCTAAAGGTAAATAAAAAGTCATGGGAACTCCTGTGTTAAAAGACGTAGAACAATCAAAGGCAGCCTTTGTTTCTTTTCGCACATGGCATGATGACTTTGAAGGATTGTTGGGGAAGGATCTTTGTTGTACTGTATATCCTGGGCTGTGTTGTACTGTATATCCCTGGCTGTGTCTTTTGCACAGTGTATTGCTGCTGCCACCATGAAATGCACTAATGAATGTATTTTAAGGACTGTTATCTACTGACCTACAAGCCAGGGAAACCAGTATTTTGACATCCGGCCATCTGTCTGCATATCCCAGGGATGCACAAAGAGACAGCAGTTTAATTGTTCAGCAGCCTTAAGTTAATGAGAGAATGAGAATTAAGGAGAGATGATTAAATATTAAAAATGTAAGATTCAAGGTGATAAAACTGTCACTTTTAAAAAAGTGAAAGACTAATGTTTTATGGCACAAGAGCACATCATTCAAGAATAATGCTTATATTGTAAGGGAATGCTCGTTTACACATCAACCCACATTGAGCATTGCACTAGTGGGCTAACATGATAGACTTCCTTTGTCTCCCCCCTTCAGCCTTCTGTGTCCTCTCAAACCCTGCCAAGGCTTTTTTCTAGCCTTCTTGGGCAGATATCAAGGCAAAGAAGTGTTTGCAGGGCAGAAAGGATTGCTTTCAAATTAAGACCACATGCTATTATTCTGCCTATTGCTGTTTTAACTGGGAGTGGGACATGATCCAGAGCAGCTGGCCAGAAAAGCAATGTTAAAAAAAAACAAAACAGCTTGCCTCTCTGGAAGTGGGAACTACTGCAGAAAGATATTAAAAGAACAATACAGATGTTCACCTGATGTTCTTCCTCTTCACAGGTCGTTCATGACCGTGGCAGAAGGACCATCTCTCCATACATTTGGGAGTGAGATTCCCCATCTCCTTGTCCATGAGCCACTGAATTTCTCATGCCTCTTTGGACTGAGAATCATCGGAATAATGTTCTTATGGGGAGTGGGGGTAGAGCAGCAGTGGATGTTGGAAGAGACTAATGAAATAGTTCTTTGCTACATGGCTTTGCATCCACAAAATTAATACAAGTCCCAGGGAAATAATCACAGAATTGCCTAGTTAAGACTAAGTTACCTTTAACCACCATACTACTGTTAGTCTCAGGTCCTAATCACACCTGCCAAAAGAACCTCAGTTCTATCAATTCCTTCCATACCTTTGTTGTATCAATACATTTATTTTTGCAGTCACATGGTATATATACCAGTGTGAACAGTCCCATTGTTTTTAACTATATCAATTCATTTCTTCCTATTTGAACCATTATAGCAGGCTACACTTCTCTTAATTTTGTATCAGTTCATTTTCTCGACTGTTTCTTGAGGCAATCAGACCTCCCTTGTCCTTTTTTTAAATAACAAAAGTGATACATCAACAGTGCAACAAAGAGGTCCAAGCCTTCTCTCCTCCTCCCTTTTTCCCTTCCCGCCTTTGCCCCACTTCTTTACAAAGTATAGTGAGTAACCGGTTTTAAAAAAAAGAGACAGGAGATGTAATGCTACTTTCTTTACTATTCAAAGCAGGAAATATCTCTGCTCCAGCCATATTTCACCCACAAGGGAGAGAAGGAAGGCTGTATCCTTCAAACTGTCTCCATCTGAGCAAAGTATTTATGCTGATTTGTCAATATAGAGGAAAAAAGAGGGTATATGCACAGTGGCCACAGCACCCAGAAAAACGACCCCTTTGCAATGGAAATAAATCAACAGCAACATTCATACAGGCTGAAAAACTTGGAATGAAATAGTTCATCATCACTGTAAAGTAAAACAAATTCTGGCAAGGGGGAAATAAACCAGAAATAAACTGCTGGCCAAGAAAATGAATCAATTTATGAAATAATCTTAAAAAATGGCCAAATTGGGATCTTTTAGCAGGTGTGACCAGACCCCCAGTTAAATGGAAATCCATTGAAACAATTTCTCAATGCTAAGTCAAATCCCATTGAATAAAGGAGTCTACACTGTTTGAAGCTAAAAATAGGTTACTGGCATTTATGTTAAATAAATGTTGCACTGTTTAAGACACTTTCTTTTTTAACTTAATGGTCTGTATATGCACATGGCCTTGATGAAGTTCAGGAGAAGTGTGAGTAGGTGGGGCAGTCTTACATGTCCCCTTATAGGCTGTATTTGCTAAAAAACAAAACAAACAAACAAACAAACCACCTACCCTCCCAAAACATTTTCAACTTGCATCAACAATCTCAAATTGCATGCTGCATATTGAAATATATCTATTTTTATTCATTTCAAATCTTCCAGCACTGCCTACTTACAAGGTAGCTAGCTAGTATGCACCCTGGTTTTAAATCTCAGATGGAGTGCTCCCATTTTCTATAAGTAGATTAAGTTCTTGAATTCAGTTTAAAAAAATAGGAAAATGTTTAACTACGTAGCTGAAGTGAGATTGTAGAACTTCTTTTCAGTTTTACCTTTGCTTCAAAAAGTGTTTGCTGTTTAGACATAATATTGCTGACCTGCTAAATAACTTTACATGTATAAGCAGAACTACAGTTCTCTAGGGAGAGCTAATGTTTTCCACATACATGCATACAAGGAAGCTGTACGATATTGCAAAGGTTATATGTATAACAAAAGTGTTACAATAGATATTCTACTCGGGAACAGAGGGTTTTTGTGTGTAAATTTAAAAATATAGTTGGTTGCATTTGTTACTATTATCCCCACAGTTGCTCCTTTTAGATGGCTGTGTATATTACCAAAGCATTTTTTTTTCTGTAGAATTCTGGGCAGTCCACTAATAGACAGTCCATCGGACACATATTATAATAATAATAACTACTAGCTGTTAAGTCAGTTCTGACTTATGGCAACCCTTTCCAGGGTTTTATAGTTTTATAGTAAACAGAAGTGGCTTACCATTCACTTCTTCTGGGGGCACATCTGGAACTGTGCAGCTTTCCCAAGGCTACACAGGCAGAATCTTCTCCTGGGATGCACAGTGGGGAATCAAATTCCCAACCTCTGGCTCTCTTAACTCACTGAACCTTCCAGCCAGCCACTCACAAACAATATGAAGCTCTATCCTCAACAGACAGCAAGCAGTCTGGCCATACAAACCCAGGCCAGCTTAGATGCCACAGCACGGACCAAAGGCGACTGTTATTAAAACTGTGCTCATGACCTGGGTTCTGTCCAGGGTAGCCATCTCAAGGTTGACTCAGCCTTCTATCCTTTCAAGGTTGGTAAAATGAGTACCCAGCTTGCTCAAATCTTCATGGGGGTGGGGGCAATGTGCGTAGCTTGTGTAATTAACTTGTAAACCACCCAGAGAGTGCTTTAAGTGCTGTGGGGCAGTATATAGGCAGTACGCTTTGCTTTGCTTTATGAGGTCTCGTACGATCAGTAGATTCCTAGACGAACAGCCACTTACCTAACTCTGTTTGGTGAGAATAATGGTGACTTTTCTTGTACATTTTAATCTATGAAACTTAGTTTATCACCCTTTAATTATTCTTAACCTTGAAACTTTCTAAATGAAAACAACAACATTGAAAGCTACTGATGTGTAGTGTATCAACTAGGCATAAGGAGGTGTAATGCTATATGGACTGGTGGTGCTGGTGTATTGGAATACTCTTTTCAATTACTCAGAAGTATTGAGCAGAACTCCACAGGATGCCTCATAATGGAGGCAGTGCAAGAGTATCCCTGTTATATTCACAATGCCGGTTATGATCGCTCAAGCTTCACCACCCTTGGACACCAACATACAAGACAGACTACTGAGATGTTAGACCTGAAAGAGGCAGGGCTATAATGATGGTAGGAGATGAGGGCCCACCTGTAAGCCCCACCCCACTCATGAAGGTCTGCAGAGGCACTCACAAGTGGTCTTCTGTATATCAATATCTCAGTCACAGCCCAAGATCTTTACAGCCCAACGCTTCAGTCAAGCATATTTCTATTCCCTTTTAAGATTCTGTACTACTGCTATTTGTCATTTTTAATGTCACGAAAGACAGCTCCACATCTCTTTTTGGAGTTATTTCTACTCACAGCATAGATTGGAAAAAGTTCTGAGGCATTCAAGTCCCAGTTATTAACATGAGACCCTATTTGGACCCCAGGAAATCCAAGCTCATTCACACAACGATGTATTTCCTTCACTGCCAGGTCCGGAGCTTGCATGGGGAGTGTGCCGAGGCCAACGAATCTCTTTGGGTACTTCTTTACTGTGGCGGCTAAGTCATCATTTAAGAATTGGCAAAGGTCTAAAGCATCATGTGGTTTGGCCTGATAAGAATAATTCAGAAGAAGAATAAATTAAAATGTGCTTTTCAAGCCGGAAGAAAACATCAAGGTTGGTTGTATAAATAAGAGGAAGAAGTATCAGGGAATTAGTACTTATGCAGAGCACCTCTTTGGAAAATGAAATAAGTACTGTAAATAACTCTCTAGCCAGGTTTTTTTTTGGGGGGGAGGGGAAGCATGTTTTCTAGCAGAGAGAACATTTTTGTCCTGCAATCTTGCAAGCTGGAGATCCCGCACAGCTCTGAGTCCTTAAACTAATAAGGTAAAAAAACTAGAGATACATCTACACACACTACTTGGATTGATATATATATTCTTTTTGGAAGAATATATATAAGAATATATATATTCTTTTTTGGAAGACAGCTACCTTAAAGAGGAATGTGATTGACAAGAATTACAGCCAAAATACTATTGGGAAAAACAGGGCACATAAGGGAAGTCCCTGAACACCTTTTCCATTGTAGCTTGCCATCCAGCATGTGACTGAGAATGTGGCCGCATGCACCATTATTCCTTCAATCCTAGGAAGCAGGGGATTACAACAGACAGACTGCAGTGTTGATAGGCTTGCTTGCATGATTGTCTACTTATGATTCATGAATCTGAGAAAATTATGAACTGTTTATCAAACAGAACAACATCCGCAGCTCATGGAATGTAGTATCTGTTACTGAGCGCTAAACCTAACATGCATATTTGTTTCAGAAGTGGAACAACAAATACTTTACATATATGTTTGAGAAATAACAAATATTCATCTTTGATTAAGTAATTTTAACAACCAGTTGCAAGTCACCTGTGTACAGAAAAGAGCTGTCCCAGAACTATAGTTTATGTCAGTTAAAGACAGGGTTCCTTTGTTGATAGTTTGATAGTTTCACATCACACTAGGCAATTCCTCTGAGAATCCTGTGCTTCTTTGTTCCTCATGAAACTGAGGGTTGGTTTTCCCCCACACCTTGTACTACTATCATCAGGATTTTTTTAAAGCTAAACCTATGTTCCACTCTGAGTTCAGTTGTTCAGCAGATGCTTCATTATTTCAGTTCTGGAATTGCTCCCTGGGAGCATCTCCCGTCTCCACCGCAGGCTATGTCCCACAATACTTATTCATTGTTATCAGTTTCATACTCTTCCTCCTCATCAGTCATATCATACACACTTACCTGCTTTTGTCTCCAAGACACCAGGTATCTGTGTAGCTACAGAACAGAGTACTGACTTTTTAATTATATAAAAAATGGTACTCATTTTTTTAGTTTAAAAATTTTAAACATATGTTAAAATTTATTTTTCAGGGTTTTTTAAAATTTTAAACAAATTTAAATGATTATTACAAGTGAGCTGGATGCCAGTGAATGGGAGCTCTATTTAAAACACATTAGTATTTTCTTGCAGAATTTGACTAGAGTCCAAGGATCTTGCCCCGCTTTTGCTAGCCACCTCTTATTCATAGAGGAAAGTAGCCTCCCATAGAACCTCAGATGAAGAAGCTGGTAGATGTTATTCATTACTGGAAGCACATATTCAAATAGCAACTACCAAAGTCTTATGTATTTCCTCAAAAATGGTTATATTACTTGTGTTTATAGCTCTGCACACAGATCTACAAAGCAGTCATTTCTTTTCTATGCATAAGCCAAAATCCTCTTGTGTAACTAACTACACAAAGAGCATCATTTTAGGAGGCAAATGGCTTCAAGTTAAGAAATCACAGTAGACGTTATCAGTTGCACACTGAATCACACAACTCAGCATGCAATATATAATGTCTACAATTTATTTAATTTTTTTTACTTGAGGCCATTTACCACCAAATGTTACACTGCTTGTATTATGCCAGTGTTATTATGTATGAGGATCTGGGCTATAAAATCTTTGAATGCCAACCCATTATAATTTTTATATTGATTGATGAGGTAGCAGAAGTGCTTGCATCTGGCTTTATGAGCAATAAGAACGGAGAAGGGGGGCAAAGTGAGAAGAAAGAAAATGCTGAATCTCATTCTGTGATTTAGAAACCTCATCTAGATTGTTTCTGGATTCTAAGATTCACCAGATACTATCTATCAGACTTCATTATTTTCTTCAGAATCATGTGGACTAATAGAAATATTTTTAGACATGAACATTAACCATCAGCATACAATTTTGCTCCAAAGGATATATTCTGATGTAAAATGCCAGATCGCAATGTGATATTGGCTCAAATCCTGCTGCATTATTACAGTGACAGAGCAGCAATGGTGGAACTCACAGAGACATCTTGCAGCTAATTAGCAACCCACTGCTTAGATTCATCTTTGCTCAGCCACTGGATGGCTTGGTGCTTGACCAAGAATACAAAAATTTATTAACAGCAATTCGCTTGCTGTGGGTTTCCCCCATTACCCTTCTACCCATTTAGTTATGCAACAGGATTTGAGCAATTACAGCTTTTTAAATCAGGTTATTAATTATGCACTATTATATTCATTCTAAATACATCCAGTTCTGTACTTGTATAAAAGCAAACGTTATATCTACACTTAAATCCAGAGATAAAATGATTAATATTGATCTTTCCGCAATGTGCTAGTCCTGATGTCTGCAATACAGCCTTTTTCATTGACTTACCCAATAGCTAAACATGACAGGAACTGTGGATAGAACCTGGACATTGACCCCTGTGGAACAATATCAATAAAGATTATTAAGAAGAAACAGCTAATACTGGGACTGTCCCATGTATGAATTTAAGGCAGTTCTGATAGACTGTTTAACATGTAGTTTATGGCCACACCTGTGGCTCCCTCTTCTGTGCCACATCACTGTCTTCTCATTCTGTAAAAGCTACAGAGCAAGTGGCAGGGTCCTATGCCACTTTGTGGTGTGGGACTCTTAGTTAACAGTTCTACAACAAAGGAAAAAACACACACCCTGTGACTACTTCAAATAATGTGGCAAGAGGTAACCCTCATCTTAGCCTTCCCCAGATGACCAAAGTAGTGTATTAACCTGTAACATCATGTCTAAAATCCCATTAGGTAAAGTGGCTAGCACAACACAATTCACACAGATCTTGTCAGTGAACTGGCATATGTTTCGCAAAGTGCCAGTTCAGTGGTTCATGCCAGTTTGTCCTTCAGAGGAGCCGTTCTTCAGTGCTTCCCAGCCCTGCCTCCTCCAGGGTCTGCCCACTCGAAGGCAGCATCCCGGCTTCCCTGCCCTTCCTCTTTTGGCTGCTGCCTCTGAGGAGGAGGTGGGGCTCAGAAGCGCTGAACCCCTGTCTGTCCGAAGGACGAACAAGTGGTCTGTGCCCAGCTCTTGTTCAGAAGTTAGCATAAGCATTTTGTTGTTGTTGTGTACCAGGTTGTGCATGGTGCAATGTGCAGCAGGGCTGGAACTACACATTTGCAATATATGGGGGGACACAGAGGCCTGAAGTGGACAAAGTGCCTGTGCTGTGGGTTACAGGAAACAGACACGGCCCTATGCATAACATACATCCAAACCACATTGCTTTTTTGTTTTAATCTGGTGTGGGTGGGCATTCATGATGTCTCTGTGAGCATATCAGGGCCTGAGTGCAAGGTCACATGATGGGAGCATCATGCCCCCTTCTCCTGCCCCCCACTTTTTAAAGGTGTTTGTGCCCATCTTCAGATGTGCAATTTTAATTACAAATTACATTTTTTCCCCAGTCAGGGTTCTGTCAGTATTAGCAATGGTGTGTGAAGACAGGGTGAATTGTTCTGTCAGCTGTGTAACCAGCCAGCTAGTCAGTAATGAAGCTATTTAACCAGCTAAGCTCAGTGGTGTAACGAGTTAACATTTTTTACACAATATGTTTGCTTTTAATCTATGAAGAACTGTATGTGAACAGAAACATTCTATTTGATCTCATCATCTGAGTGAATGATTGAAAGAATAAGTGTTATTTGAAGTAAACCAGCAAATAAGGATGGTCTACTGGGGTAAACAATCTGCTCTGTAGGTTCCTGATGGAACCTTTTCTTTTTGCACAACTAGAAAAAGTTCATTTAATTGGATACCTTATTGGTTTTGGTATCTGGCTGGGGGTTCGATTCCCCACTATGCCTCCTTGACAGGGGCTGGACTTGATGATCCCGTCCAGCTCTGTAGTTTTTAGATGATGGTGGTGGTGATGATGATTTATTAAGCTACACTCAATTTTCTCACACACTCTGCCCCCAAGAATTTCTGAGTTCTAGTTTCATTACATACAATTATGGACTGCTTTATAATGAGGTTTGAGGAATATTTTCTTCATTATATAGCAAGCAACTTAAGTTAGAATGAACTTGAACACCATTCTTTTAAAAAAAGGAAATTAATGAATAACTTTGAAAACTAATCTACCACCAGTCAATTGTTCTTCAAGAGGAATGTGTGAACTTTCCCCCCAGCACTTCCAGTGGTGAACCAAGGTGCACATTCATCGGTGGATTTCTTTAACAAGAATATTTGGGGCAAAACTGCTTGAGGGTTCATCATTCAAGAAACCTTTCTTACAACTTTAAGAAAGTTCTTCTTGATCCTAACATGCAAAAATACCTCGTTAATACTTTGAAACCAATCAAATGTAGGAACCACCCATGTCTAATTGTCAGTTAATCTCCCTTATGTAAGACTTTTCAATTGCTGTTGATACTTTGCTCTCAGAGCTGACTGTGGGGGCGGAGGTGGAGGTGGTGAAGTGAGCAGTTAAGAGCTGTGTAAAGTTGTGACAGCAGTGGGACGATGCTCCAGAAGCTTTACATAGCCACTTTCTTGTACTTGTGAGCATTTCTTTTTTTGGCAATACTGGTGCTCTATAAGGGGAACTGATGGAGGGGTGGTGGCGGCAGAGGAGGCAGAGACAAGCAAGTAAGAACCTAGTTCTTTGCCCAATTCTGTCCCGGGCAATCTTTTTTTGGAAGATGCAGCTTTTTCACCACTATAGAAATCCCATTCTCCACACACACAATAATAGTCAAAAACATCTTGCAATCGTCTTATGCCAGCATAACTCCAATGACATCACTTTAGGAGAGGAATTGTCTTAAATCAAGAAAACACTGTAAATGTTATTTGTTGTGTACCCAAATAATGGGACTGAAAGTAATGTCTACAGTGATTTCATGAGGAAATTTGCCTCCCCAAGTTATGTTATTAGTGATATGTGGTGTAACCACACAAGAGAATGTTGGCAAACAAAATTTACAGTATAGTACAGTTTAGTGGATAATTGCCTTTTGTTTTCTATCCAGAAGTCCCAATCTGGAATTTGATATGCCAGTTGCATTTTTCTGTTAATTGCTCTTTCGTGCATTAAAGCACTGCTGTCCATGGGTTGCTTAAACCACTTCTTAATAATGGAGGTTCTAGCTAGGCTCTTTATTGATTGATTGATTGATTTATATTTTGCCCACCTTTCTACTAAAAAAGACCCTAAGGTGGCTTACACCATTAAGAACGCATCATTAAACGCCGAAAAAGTAAGTTATTCAAGTATTAAAGAAGAATTGATAATATTATATTTAAAATGTTAGGATAAAGCATGTTGAAAAACAGATTTAAAAGCAATGAAATATAAACCATCCTGTTTACTGTCTCCTACAGTCAGTCACTAAAAGAAAGCCTGCCTGAAGAGAGAGATATTTGCCTGCTTGCAGAAGAACAACAATGATGGTGCCCGACTGGCTTTCTGTGGGAGGCAGTTCCAGCATCTGGGAGCAGCAGTGACAGAGAAGGCCCTCTCCTGTGTCCCCATTAAGTGCACTTGTGAGGGTGGTGGGACTGAGAGAAAACCCTTTCCTGATGATCTTAACATCCAAGCAGGCTCATAAAGGAAGAAATAGATAATAACAGTAAAAGCAACAATAAAAAATCTGAAAAGACACCATGGTAAGCATGATACCTTAAGATTCAATAGCATTAAAGGACAATAAATGAGAAAACTCAGTAATAATATGCAGCCAGCAGAGAGAGAGAGAGATACACAAATTCAAAATAGAACTAATAAAAAACCAAAATTAATCAAAACTAATTAAAATTAAAATGAATCTGGGGCCAGGCTATGAAAAGGCTTGACAAAACAGCTAGGTCTTAAATTGCCTCCTAAAACCAAGGAGGGAAGGGGCAGTTGCACCTCTGATGGGACTGAATTCCAAAGCAGTGTGGCCACCACAGAGAAGACGTGGTTTCCAGTGACAGATTTCCGGGCCTCCCTTGGAGAGGCCACTCGAAGTATCCAAATACTGTATGATAGGTGTGGGTGGAACAGGTAGACATTTTGAGGGAGAGATGCTCAGATAGATAACAAGGTCCCTATGGGCTGGAATGCCTGACTGCGGAGCCAGGAACTGGGAGCTTGACTCCTCAGTGTGTCTCCTGAGATAGGCCCAGCTGAGATCACCCAGAGCATGTGTGGCTGATGAGGGTTACATGCCTTGTCATTTGAGCAGCCTCAGACAAGCTGCAGCACCAGAGAATGGTATTAGTAAAATACCTTTTCATCCTTTACTCCTAAAAAAACCCCAGGAGGATTAGCATAACTCCAGAATGAACTTGACAACATATAACTATTAATTCTCATGTCAGTTATCTGAGTAATACATATCTACGGTGATAGTACCTGATTGGTCCATCTGTTTAATCCGAACCTCTGGATCCCAGCAATTTTCTTGGATAACTCTGAAGACTTTTCCGTCCTGCATCATTTTTGCTTCCCCCTGTAAAATAGTAAGCATTTATTAATGCCAACATCGTTTATATTTTTCTTCAAAAGGTCTATTTCCAGAAATTCTCTTTTGAGCTATTCTTGACTTTTAGAGCATCTGAAGGCCTTTGCTGATATTCCCTGTATAGCCTGAGAAGTCCTGCAGTACAGTTTCTCTTTAGGACACTCAGGAGCCATCAGAAGCCGGCAGCCACAGGGATAACAGTCCATTCTGTCACTTCTTCCTGTGGTACCATTGTTCCAACCTCTCACAGCCTCAGAACCAAGAAATGTAAGAACTGTAGTCTAATGCAGTGGTTCTTAACCTTTGTTACTTGGATGTTTTTGAACTGCAACCCCCAGAAACCACAGCCAGCACAGTTGGTGGTGAAGGCTTCTGGGAGTTGCAGTCCAAAATTCCTGAGTAACCCAAGGTTAAGAACCAGTGGTCTAATGCACCTGGAAGGTGCCACAAAAGGGAAGATTGGTCTACACTCTTCTCTCGTATGCCCAAGGATCTTTGACCATTAATACTGGAGTTCAAGGAAAGAGGTGTATTGAAAGAACTAGCTGAGAACAGATGTTTGTGAAAATCCATTAATATCCCACTTTGTATGCATTGGTTTTGAGCCTTGTCATTAACACTGAATAAGCCTTGTCTTGGCTTTGATTAAAACCTAAATAAAGAGACACCTTCTTTCGAATACAAGATTAATCAAAACAACAACTCTCTGGTGTTCAGCATGGATACTTTCCCATGCTACCCTTTATCCTTTAGCACATGCGGTCATCATCAAGAAGAGAGCTCATCTCTGAACATGTGTAGAGTGTATTTCTTCGTTGTTGAATAACCAGGCCCAACTATACCTGCTCTGGTCAGATATTTTATGTATGTAGATGTACGTGTTTGCCTTGCTGGGATTCACGTGAAGACCTCAAGGTAGCTTGTTATTGTGTGTTACATCTAATCGAGTAGGAACTGACTTAAAGTGATTCTAATAGGGCTTTCCAGGTAAGTGACATATTTAAGGAGTGGTTTTTCCATTGCTATCTGCCCGCTGTGAGTTCCCATGGTCGAGCAGGTATCCAAATCCACAACTCCTGAGTCTTAGTCTGTGACTCTGTCCACTGCACCACACTTGGCCAGGGTAATATACCATAATTAAAACAGCAAAAAGGAAACAATGTTTCTGACCGCAGTTGCTTTTGCATTATTTTATTATGTCTATTTGTTTGTTGCCTGTTTTTTATTCTGAGCTTATTCTGCTTTATCTTTTTTTCTCTCTCAGACATCTTTAAAGGCAACTCTTGTACGGTACATTTGCAGCAATCTAAATGGATAATTACTGGCCCACAGCCTGAATGTTTTTAGTTGTGATGACTTGAATGTAATGGCAGTGGTTATCAATGTTAAAGGACAAATAGGTAAGGATTCAAGCCTCCTTGGGTCCTTTTGGGGAGAAAGGCGGAATAGAAATATTTTAAATAAATAAAATTAAATAAGTATATTACTAAATAGGTTCCATGTCGTCCATCAAGAAATCAGTATGGGTGCTGGCTGGGCAAACACAGATGATGGGCTTCCATGTCCCCCCTTGGCACAGACTTGAAGAATGCCAGAGCATGGACAAATCAATGTATCATAAGATTCACCAGTGTTTGTCAGTGTAACACATTGGTGAATGCTACCCTTGAGGTTGCATTACAGGGTCCATCCTAAGTTGACAACAATAAAAAACTGCAAAAAAAATCTAAATATCAGTACGACATATTTAAAATTATTTTTAAAAAATATAATGTATTTAATTTGAAGAGAAGGTTTGGTATATATCTCTGAGGGGGCATTTATTTATTTATTTAATATTGAAATTTGGTCTCTCTCTTTTTCACATTAGTTTCACTGGATGCTTCTAGTTTCCTTTTGTTTATGCTATGACCATGCATTTGGGACTGAGAGATTTTCAGATGAGGCAATATGACTTCTATGTAAGCTTATAAATAAAATTAATCATTTGTCGCAGGAGGTGCTGGAGCATGTTCTGCAACATGACGATGGTTTTCTGCCCCAAGATAACAAAGAATTAAAATCTAAATGGTCTGTTGCTCCTTTTAAATTACATGTATTGAGCTATAGGGGCACCTAAACATTCTTAAACCATACTAAAGCCACATCTAACCTTGAATATGTCATTAGTATCATGCATTATTCATTGTAAGTGATAAATATTTGAAACTCCCATCCTCTGTCCCTTCCTCTTTGACTACCTTTTGGCCAGCTCTCAGAAAGACTTGGCAGCTGTGTCACAATTCAAGAAAATTGCTCGAAATATCACCAGCTATAATTACAATGCTACCATCTGATTCCTCTGGCAAATATCGTTCCAGAATTGATGTCTCCACAGTGCCACGAGGGAAGAACTCTCTTTTACATTCCTACAGGGCATGAATAATTAATACTTGTCCGCTGTTGATTTTTACAGCTTGGGCATCAAACTGTTTAGGGGAGATGAAAAATAACGGATGGAATCAAGCAACTTGTTTAAAAATAGATGGAGACGTTTCATATCATTATGTTCAGTGCAGAACATATATTTGTTATGCACAGTAGATCATATGGTTCCTTTTCTGGCAGATTGTTATATGGAATTGCTGCAACGCTGAAAACCATGCAAAAAAGACTGATTTCTCTAAGCCTTCTCTCTAAGGGATCACCCTAAACCCTGATAAACAAGTGCTGACTCCAGCACATTAAATAATAGCTGTTCCAATAACCAAACAGGTCAGGCCATGAAGTGGAATCTCCAATGAGTTATGCCCTAATTAAGGAAAAGAGACCTGCCCACCCTATCTGCATTAATGATGCGGAAATAATGACAAGCCTAGGACAAAACACAAAACAAACCTGTGCCGATCAGTTGGACCACTAGGGGCAGCATTTCTCTCACTGCCAGGGATATGAACTGAAATTACACATTCATGCTGCCGTTAATTCCCATGATCCAAAGATTTTCTGAAACAAGGATTTATTTGCCAGATCTGTAGTTAAAGTTAATTCGGAGCTCATTCTCAGAGGCTTTGTGGTAATTACTAGACACCTGGATCCAGAGAAAATTAGTTTTTCTTTGCGGACTATGACAATGGTGCTGAATTCCTCATACACTTAATTGAGGGCTTTCCTTCTTGAGCCTGAACCAATTTACTTTATAACCCAGACAGTGGTCTCTAAAACAGCATGTTCCAACATTTATGGATATTCATGTTCATAAACACTAGCATAATATAAGAAAGGGAAGGTTCAAGTTTCAGTAATATGAAACTGAATCTGATGGCATGGTTTGTTTTAGTCACCCATATTTCAGAATAATAACCTTTGATATAGTAAAGCCACCAAATGAAGCTTTTTTCTTTTTTCAATTTAATGTCATGTTGTGACAGCTGGTATTTATAAGTTTAGAGAAAACCAACTCCCTCATATGTGGTAACTTCCAACTTTTGCAACATAGCAGGGCACTAAAATGAAGTACATACTGTAGTTTTCAGTAAAAATTAATTTAGTAAAAAAAGAAAAGGATGAGAGAGAGAGAGAGAGACATTAAACAGGCATTTATAGCTCAGATGACATTCAATGCAATGGCCCAAATCTATTTGCACAGTTACACTAGTGCAATGTTAACAATATAATTTCAGCAAATTATAGAAGCTCGAGCTACTTGCTTCAAGTTAAGAAATTACCACATATTCTCTGTTGTACTCTGATCAAACTGTTGAAAACATATCAAAATATAGCACGTAAACCTGGACCAATATTTAAAGCCCTTGCAGCTCCTCTTTGAAGTAAATAAAGAAATGAATGACCTGCTACAGTGGAACAAGTTGGCAGCTCAGGTTGACTGGACCGTAGTCTTTTCTGCAACGAAAGGCAACAAGCTAGCTTAGGGGCTGTAGACTGTGTGACCCCCCCACCCCACCGACCTGTCAATCAAGAACTTGTCACCATTCCCTACCACTTCAGCATCTCTTTGAAATGACCAACTCTTTCTAGTGCTGGGGCTGGCTCCATCTCAGGTAACATTATGTCATGTTTCTTCTCAACATTTTCTTATCCAGCTCATTGTCCCAGGCAATGGGAATGGTCTCTGGTGAGGCAAATTTTAGGGACTTTTTTTTAAAGTTGTCTTCCCAATTGTCATTTCAGCCCCAATTACATTGAGGCTAGTCTTCCACCTTCTTTGGATCCATGGCAATTTGCATACAGGAGAAATAGATCTACTGATGATGCTGTGTCCATCGTACTCCATACTGTATTGAGCCACTTAGAACAACAGGGAACTTATGCAAGGCTGTTGTTTGTGGATTATAGCTCTGCTTTTAACACCATTCTACCAAATAGGTTGTTTTTAAAAATGATCAACCTGGGATTACCTCAGGAGATCTGCATGTGGATAAAGGATTTTCTGACAGATAGGCCACAGTCAGTAAGGATGGGATCCCACCATTCTTCTACCCTGGTACTAAGTACAGGAGCTCCCCAGGGCTGCGTGCTGAGTCCCTTCCTCTATTCCCTGTACACACATGATTGCACCCCACTATATAACACCAATGCAATTATTAAATTTGCGGATGATACGACAGTGGTGGGACTCATAAATAAGAACAATGAGTCTGCTTATAGAAAGGAAGTACAAAGATTGATACTATGGTGTAAAGAAAATCATCTCACACTTAACATCAAAAAAACTAAAGAACTCATAATTGATTTTAGGAGGAAGAGAAATGTACATTTACCACTGTACATAAACGGTGAGGAAGTGGAGAGAGTTGGTAGTTTTAAATTTCTGGGCACTTACATCTCAGAGGACCTCTCATGGACTATAAATGCCAACATGCTAATAAAGAAGGCACAGAAGAGGCTGTATTTCCTGAGAATGCTCGGGAAGTTAAATTTATCACAGCATTTACTTCTGTCCTACTACCGTAGCACCATTGAGAGTGTCCTAACCTATGGCATTCTGGCATGGTTTGGGAGTAGCTCTGTAGCGGACAAAAAAGCTCTACAGAGAACCATTAAAATTGCCCAGAATATCATCGGGCTCCAGCTACCAACCCTGGATGACATCTTCACATGTGCAGAAGATATAGAACAATTAAGACTCGGACCACACGTTTTCTAAATAGTTTTTATCCTAGAGTTATAATTGCAATTAATAATGAGCTTAAAGACCACCAATAGTGAATTATTAGTTGGACTGTGTTACTTGGCCTGAGGTGTAGATGTTTGTATTTTTAGTGAGGGACTTCTAGTGGGTGGGGAGTGTTTGGGGAATGTTATGTGTGTGCATGTGTCTGGTCTCTGGGTGTCTGTGAATTTCATTGTATGGGTATACTGTGTATATACTTACAATGACAATAAATTATATTATATTATATTATATTATGATTATGATTATGATTATGATTATGATTATGATTATTAATTGTCATAATGTGGTGTAGAGCAGTGGTCCCCAACTCCAGATGTTCTTGGACTACAACTCCCAGAAGCCTTCACCACCAACGCTACTGGCCAGGATTTCTGGGGGATGAAGTCCAAGAACATCTGGAGGCCCAAGGTTGGGGACCACTGTATTAGAGGACAGAATGTCAGACAAGAGTTTAGGAGATTTGGGTTCAAATCCCTGCTTGGCCACCATCTCTGTGTGTGGCAACAGTAAACCACTCCTTGAATATCTGACATGCTTCAAAAGCTACAGTATCAGGGTTGCCAAAAGTCAGAAGCAGCTTGATAGCACAGAGAACAAACTCATATATTGCTTTTATAGCCTCATTTGTAACCAACTTCTGCATTTCTCAAATGCTTTACATTGAGTTAAACTAAAAGCTCTCCACCACTATAAGATTGAAAGGAACAGTTGTGTTTGTAATACTTAACATGAGAACATATATAATATAAGGTAAAGGTAAAGGTTCCCCTTGACAATTTTTGTCCAGTCGTGTCCGACTCTAGGGGGCGGCGCTCATCCCGCTCTTCAAGCCATAGAGCCAGCGTTTTGTCCGAAGACAATCTTTCCGTGGTCACATGGCCAGTGTGATTTAGACACGGAACGCTGTTTACCTTCCCACCGAGATGGTACCTATTTATCTACTCGCATTTGCATGCTTTCGAACCGCTAGGTTGGCGGGAGCTTGGACAAGCGACGGGTGCTCATTCCGTTACGTGGAGTCGATCTTACGACTGCCGGATCTTCTGACCCTGCAGCACAGGCTTCTGCGGTTTAGCCCACAGCGCCACCACGTCCCTCATATATAATATACACCCAATATTAACCTATGTAACCCATATGATCTCTATTACGCAGAAGACACTGTGGAACAAGGGGGAAATCAGTTTGTTCAAAGTAAAGTATTGGAAGCTAGCTTTATGGTTACCATGGACTTCCAGAAAGAGAAATAAATGTCTTTTGATTTTCATTCCTGAGAGCGGTTTTGTTCCCATGTTCTTGTTTCCTGTTTTGCTGAAGTCCATGAATTATCTGATACTTCCTCAATGTTTTTGTTTAAGAGTATGATCATACTTGCCTATTCTACCCTTAAATGTTTTCTATCTTGTCATTTCACTTCAGTCTTCTGAGGTAGTCTTAAAGTGTTTCCCTTTCCTTACCGTTTAAGCTCTTCTTTGCACAGGCCAGGATCACCCCCCTCCACAAGCTCTCTTCTGTTTGTGGGCCTATGGGGAGGGACATCATCACGTGGCCTCCATTTTCTGGCTCCTTCTTCCCTGGTGCTCTTGTACTGGGGAATGGTTGCAGGGGAGGCACTGCTAGCTCCCTAATCCTGGGCTGCCAGTGGCACTTCAAGATGGAGCTCCCAGCCTTGCCTCACGGGGGGTTTAAACTGAGCCCCATGATCCTTCTCTGACTGTTGCTATGTGGACTTCTCCCACCTATCCTCTTTGTTTTCTATAACAATTGCATCTCTGAAATACGTACATAGTTGGTGTTGTTAACTTTACACCTCATATGGTTTGTCACTAACTGGATGGCAGCTCGAGATGATTTTACACATAGAAGCAGAACTGTGGTAGTGAAAGTGAAAAAAAACCCTTGTGGTTTGAGAGGGGCATCAGGTGGGGAATTGATAGGCCACAAGCCAGCTCAGGAGGGCTGCTAAAGTTCCCCACAGTGGAAAGCAAGGAGTCTCTCCCCACCCTAGTGGGTTTGTGCCCAGAGTATGCATGCATATCCCTTATTGGTTACCAACTTCCATGGCTACCCAGAAACACACTGAGATGGAGCGTACTGGATGACAAGTGGGTCAACAGATATATGGACCTGCTGTTTTTTGCTGCGCCAATGCTATGCTGCTGCACACAGTCCAAATATCCACTACCCACCCTTTTATAACAAAACTTCTGAAGTTAGCAATGTGTATGTTGCAGTTGTTGGTGGGGGGAGGCTCAGGGTGCTCCAGGGGCTTTTTTGGGTGGCCTGCAATGCTTTTTTGGACCAAAAAAGACTCCTTGCTCATTGGGGTGCCCTGGCGTGTTTATCTGGCCCGTTCTACTTTGTTGGAGTTTTGTGTGTATGTGTGTGTTTTGCTTTGCTTTATAGCATTGCCTGTTTAATTTTAAGTCATTAGGGAAACAGAACTTTGCTTGATCCCTATCTTGACTTGGACATAACTCCCAATTATTTGCATTTTAAAAAAATCTAGACATACGTATATAAATCTTAATCAGTTTATATCACATTGTGAAATATATTCTCCTATTGAGAAGTCATCAGATTTGAGATGTGACCCTTGAGTTGTTAAAAGTCACTTTCAAGAACTGAGCTTGAAAGTGTGGTTGTTATGGAGACCTGTGTAGAAATGGTTCAGACAAAGATCCTGAGGATAAAATCAAATAATGGAAGATTCTTAGAGGTCTACAGAGTTTAGCATGTTGTTTTTGTTTAAATTCATACATCAGTTCTTTAAAAAGAAAGGACAAAGATTTTTCTTGGGGGGCGGGGAAGAAACCAGAAAGGCATCATTAGCATTCCTCTATGACATGCTCCCTCCATGAGTTAGTTATATAAAGATTATATTAAAATATAACAGTTAGTCTTTAAGATGCCATAACATTTTTGTCTTTTTTATTTTTCTTTTCTTTTTTGCTTGTCACAAGTTAGTTAATTCCTCTCTTGATTTTGTCTTTAGTTATGAGCAGTGAGCTGTGTGTTTCCTTCCCTCTGTAGGTTATTTAACTGGCATATCCTCTCTGCAGCTTAATTACAGCTTAAATGCTGTAATATTTCCCATGACTGAGTGGGGAGTTGAATGCAGATCTTCAGTCATAATGATGTAGGACTGAGACGACAGAAATCAGGTAATGAAGCTGGGAGATTATTTCAGACCAGATTCATTTCCTTTGAGGATAAGCAATCGGACTGTTGAGATCTCCACATGTTTTGTGAATGTTCTGGGAAGGGGCAACTCCACTGTGTACTGTACATCAAGTTGTGAACGTGATGCTTGCATGTTCATAAAAGTAGTCACATTTTATACCTGACAGCTACTGTTATCATGACCTTCATGAAATTATGCGGTAAGGCACACTAACAGAATGAGAATGACAGAAGTAGTTCCTATGTTGCTTCACGATAGCCCAGAACAAGCATTTTCTATCCTTAGGTGAGTTTTAGGAAAAAAAAGAAAAAAAAACCCTACAATGTTTATATATGTATGTGTATGCAGTGTGTCTAACTATATCTGTCTAATATTTATTTATTAATTATACTTCTTAGTCACTCAATTATTTGTATTCTCTGGTTAAGGTAGGTCTGAAAAAATTCAAAACTATTAAAAGATAAATTCCATTAAATCAATTCAAAATAACTATCTTACAAAAAAAAGTCAGTACCCACCTTGAGTAAATGCATGACCTAGTTACAGTCACGGATGTATGCATGATAGAAATATCTTTCAAACTTAGCATTTAAAAGGTAAAGCTGTCATCAAAACTTCACTTCAGCTTATAAACTGAGCTTTAAAGCAGGGACTGGTGACCCATATTGTGTGTGTTTGGTGGAGGGAACTCTTTGCAGTCTAGAAGACATTAGGGACTATGGCTGAGCCCTTGATGGTGGGATCCTTCTGTTGTCTCTTAATGTCATCGCATTAGGTCAAAGCATCCTTCTTCAGCCAGTGCTTTGGCCAGGGAACTCACTTTCTTCTCCCTGTTTTCTTGTGTGACATACTGAGCTTACCTTGGAGATTTGTTCCATTTGGACCCATCCTCCATAGCCATATTTCTATGAGAAAAAGTATGCATAAAATAGTCAATTAAAGGGGTATGAAAACAAGAATGAAGAACATCACACGAAGAATTAGTTTAAGTAGACAACAAATTATAGTATGATTCTGGGTCAATTCTGTGACATCCCAAAATTCACTGAAAATATGAATTCCAGGTTCAAATTAAGAAACCTTCAGGTTTAAATGAGAAACAAGGGATGAAGCACCCTAAGAGTTAATCAAACAATTCCAGTGCAATTTCACATTTAAACCTGTTGCTTTCAGGTTCTACTCATAAGCTCCAGAATGCATCCATTCAGGTCCAGCAGATCATGGAGATAAAGCACTGGTCTGGTGATACTCCTCCTCCTCCTCGTATAAGGCCCTAAATGGTTTAGGACCTCGATATCTGGCAGAGCACCTCCTTCTGATGAGATCTGCCAGTCCAGTAAGATTGTTGCAGGCAGGGCGGTTGAGAGTTCTGATCTTGAGAGAGGCCCGAAAAGTGACTACTAGAAACTGGGCCTTCTCAGCAGTCACCGCACAACTATGGAACAGTCTCCCACCTGAAATCTGCCTGCCCCACTCATTGAGAACCTTTAAAAAGCTATTAAAAACATGGCTATTTAGACAGGCCTTCTTGGAGCTTATCAGAACATGATACAATAGTATCTCAGTATCTTAACATGCAACCCACCGCAAGGGTTTTTATTCTTACTTTAGTTTATTTTCATTTTATTTTATCTCATGATGTTTTACTGTCTACTTGACAAGGTTCCCAAGAACTCCTCACTGAGGTCTCCACTAGAGCAGAGTTTGACAGGTCATTCCTCTGCCTGGAGAGGGGCGGGATTGTAAACTGTGTGAGGTCAGAGGGAATAATTCACAAATGCAATACATTTGTTATTTGTTCTGCATTTCTTACATTTTATTCGGTAATTGTTGTATACTTTTGTTTATTCTGTCATTGTTATTGTCTGCTTTATAAACTGCCCAAAGTGGCCTTGGCTGCCAGATGGGCAGTATGTATAAACAAACAAACAAACAAACAAATAAATAAAAGCATACAGACAAACAAACAAACAAACAAATAAAAGCATACAATTGATTCAGATTTGACTTACGTTAGCTTTTTCCAGGGTTTTCGAGACAGATAGCACCAGAAGTCATTTACCATTCCCTTTGGGGGCTGTGTGTGTCCTATGGGCCTCTAAGCTTGCCCAGGGCTACACAACCTTGCTCTTCTTTTGAAAGACACAATGGAGAATCAAGCTTCTGGCCTTTGGCTCTGCAGACAGGTATCCAACCTACAGAGCTCTCCAGCTACATGTAAAAATGCATGTGCTGGAGTGGACTGGATGCTGTAGTTCTACACTTTTATTTTCTGCTTACTTAAAATATGTATAGCCCACCTCTCCAATACATGAGATGGCTTCCAACAGAGCAAATTAATAAAATAACAATTAAAAACATTAAAAAACATCAATGGGTTCAATCCAAAATACATTATTTGCATGTGGGTCCTACTGAAATTGTGACTACAAATGCTTATTGATTAGAAGGTATCTAAGTAAGGCTAACTTTCTTTGTATGCAACCAAATACTGTAAATACAACAGAATCGCCATGATCAGCAGCACAAGGTCTCCATTGACTTTCTCCAATGCTGGAAAAGTACTGTCTCCACCTCCAGCAGAGGGGATGACACAAGATGTGGGGAGGGGGGACAGAGGGGCCATTAGCCCCCCTTTTGACCAATACCAAAGTTCCAAAATAGACATAATGTTGCAAATGCATGAATGTCTCATCTAATAATTATTATTATTTTTTTTTTGTTAGAAGCAACCATAGATGAGGAAAGTTGGATAGGTTGTTCATGCATTGCTACAGTAGTGGAAAAAGTGGGAATAAATGCACAGGCACAGACGTAATGAGGGGACCAGAGAGATTAACACTTTTCCAAGAAAATCGCCCTCCCAACACTCCTCAGAGCTGCTTTCACCTGGAGAGAAGGAAAATATACAGTGAGGGAATCCCAATAGCACCCTGTATCTTGCATTGTTCTGTTCCAAGCCCTCCATACAGAGCACGCTACCATAGTCTTTCGAGACTGAAGGATGCCTAACTAACCTCTCCAATACATGAGATGGCTTCCAACAGAGCAAATTAATAAAATAACAATTAAAAAGATTAAAAAACATCAATGGGTTCAATCCAAAATACATTATTTGCATGTGGGTCCTACTGAAATTGTGACTACAAATGCTTAATGATTAGAAGGTATCTAAGTAAGGCTAACTTTCTTTGTATGCAACCAAATACTGTAAATACAACAGAATCGCCATGATCAGCAGCACAAGGTCTCCATTGACTTTCTCCAATGCTGGAAAAGTACTGTCTCCACCTCCAGCAGAGGGGATGACACAAGATGTGGGGAGGGGGGACAGAGGGGCCATTAGCCCCCCTTTTGACCAATACCAAAGTTCCAAAATAGACATAATGTTGCAAATGCATGAATGTCTCATCTAATAATTATTATTATTTTTTTTTTGTTAGAAGCAACCATAGATGAGGAAAGTTGGATAGGTTGTTCATGCATTGCTACAGTAGTGGAAAAAGTGGGAATAAATGCACAGGCACAGACGTAATGAGGGGACCAGAGAGATTAACACTTTTCCAAGAAAATCGCCCTCCCAACACTCCTCAGAGCTGCTTTCACCTGGAGAGAAGGAAAATATACAGTGAGGGAATCCCAATAGCACCCTGTATCTTGCATTGTTCTGTAGCAGTTCATTGAAAGCTTCCCCCCCCCACTTATTTCACTGGTACAAGTTTTCTAAATTAATGTGCACACACCCCTTTTGTTTATCTTTGAACTGGAAATAGAGGTGCAAATAAAAAGGAAATCCAGTCCATGGTTACACTCACAGGTGCAAATAAAAAGGAAATCCAGTCCATGAAGACACCTGCCTATCTCTCACTGCCTGGACTGGTTACACTCACGCACTCATCATTTTCCTGCTACCTTTCACCATGGATGTCCACTTGTTTCAAAAAGGCTGAAAAAGAACCTGCATTCTTTTACATAATGGTTAGAGATGGGAGTATTCGTATTCATATATGAATATGATTATTCCTGGGCAGTTGGAGTTAACGAGGGTCCAGCCCCTGAAGCTGGACTGTCCATTCACACATCCGCCAGCGGCAGCCGCTGCTCTTCCTTCCAATTGCTCTGGAGCGCCACTTGGCTAGCCATTTGGCAGCCTTGCAGGGAGACTCATCCTCCCTCCCTCTGCCATGAGTGGCTAGCCGACTGGGAAGAGAACAGCACTGGGGAGAGATTGGAAGGATGAGCGGGGCCGGCGGCACCGGTGGACCCTCATTAACTCCAGCCGTGCAGGGATATTCGTATTTATGTACCCGCATCTCTAATAATGGTACATCTTGCCTGGTTTTGTTACTATTCCTGTTTTTCAACATGGAAAAGCAACTCTAAAAATGGTACATCTTGCCTGGTTTTGTTACTACAGTATTCCTGTTTTTCAACATGGAAAAGAACTGCTCTTTCACAGAATTTCATGGATGTTATACGAGGATAGGATGTGCATCATTAAGATGATGAATCATCTAATAGTATGTCCAGTCTGCATTCACCAGCTGGGAGCATGGTAAAAAACTCCGCTTTCCTGCCCTCATTTATGGTACATCTTGCCTGGTTTTGTTACTACAGTATTCCTGTTTTTCAACATGGAAAAGAACTGCTCTTTCACAGAATTTCATGGATGTTATACGAGGATAGGATGTGCATCATTAAGATGATGAATCATCTAATAGTATGTCCAGTCTGCATTCACCAGCTGGGAGCATGGTAAAAAACTCCGCTTTCCTGCCCTCATTTCCAGTATGCCTGTTTATTTTCTCTTCCACACATAATAGCATTAGGCGATGGCTGCACAGTGAAAGACATAACCAGTTTTCTCCCTGCTTGGCAGCCCTCATCCGAACTGGTTCTCCAGACCAGTTCAGTCCAGAAAAGTTCCAAGAATCCCACAGCTAACGCTGTGGCTGAGGGATTTCTGTAAGCCAACCAGTTCAGTCCAGAAAAGTTCCAAGAATCCCACAGCTAACACTGTGGCTGAGGGATTTCTGTAAGCCTTAATGAAGAAAAGTAATGTTTCCAAGCTCTGGCTGTACTCTTTTTCCTTTTTGGATGAGACTCCAACCTATTTTCAAGCAAGCGGGAGGCAAGTGTCTTAAAATGAGGCAGAACTGCTCTTGCCATGTGTCAGTGGAAACACCATTCTGCTTTCCTCTCGCAGGATGGCTGTGATGACATAACATCTCCTGCAAAGGGAATGAGATTGGATGATTTTTGTTCCAGTTTCAGGAACAGCCCTACTTGACAAGGTTCCCAATAACTCCTCACTGAGGTCTCCACTAGAGCAGAGTTTGACAGGTCATTCCTCTGCCTGGAGAGGGGCGGGATTGTAAACTGTGTGAGGTCAGAGGGAATAATTCACAAATGCAATACTTTTGTTAGTCTTTACGGTGCCAAAGGACTCTTCTGTTGTGCTTGTTTTGCTGCATGGGGACTGATACTGCTACTCCTTTTGATTCCTGCACATGTTACTCAAGAGATATGTTCCATTTAGTTCTATAGGAATTACTCCCAGTAAATAGAAATGTAAGCCTTCATTATGGAAAATTGCTAGTGCTAAAACAAAAGTAAAACTTTCTCCTGAGCATAATTAGTTAATCATTAATACAGACTTATATAGATTCTCTGTTGCAGCTTCTATGATTCAGCAGCAAGGCTGAAGGTCACCTTCCCCTATTAATATTTAAAGAGTATGGAATATCTTTGAATACACAACTCAAATGTACATTGATTCTCCCAGAGCAGGGAATGAAAGGCATAGACCTTTCATTTCAAAGATGCTTTGGGTTTCTCCTATATCATTAGCTTTTATTTCTTGGACTACTGAAAAAGTACACACACACATAGACACTAACATGGT